AAAATCATGTTTAATGCACGTTTTATGCCATACCACTCACTATACAGTAGACTCCCAGTCAATTGCCCATCAAGCTTATGAGACCAGCATTATAAAAGCACTGCCAGCTTTTACACAGTATCCACCCTCATGTCCTTGTTTAGGTGGATCACACTTGACTATCTGCAACAAGACCACAGTTCCCATCTCTTTCGCAGCTAGGTATTACAAAGCGACTAAGTTCTTGTTCTCATTTGGAAGTGGAAGTCGTTTATAATTGGAAGTGTTGCCTGAAACTTCTCCTAAGTACCTTTTTGTACTTCTTTTTCTTGCCTGGAAAACAGTTATGATGCGTGACATCCAAGCATCCACCTTGGGTCATCTAGGAAAATGTATGATAGGATGACAGAGTAACTTGTGTTAAGATTGAGACCTGACCGTATGGAGTAGGCATACCAACCCTGGACAACCGACCTTCAGAAATTGTACATGTAATCAGGAAAGACTTTCTTATTCTATTTAAGTCATTGGTTTGTATATTACTTAACTGAAATGTGCTGTAAGTATAATATACACATTGGATTTCAAAGGAAAAACTTGAAAAAGTTGTAAGTTTGTCATTAAAATTTTATATTGATTATATATGAAAAGGACAATATTTGGGATGTCTGGGCATAAAAACTATGCTAACAAAGTTATTCAATTTATCCTCTTTCCTTTTTTTCTAAAGGTGACTACCAGAAATCTTTAGTTGATGCATATGGCTTATACTGTCACTTCACCGGACAGTGCTAGGCTCGCCCTACTTGGCTGTGAGGCGCAAGGGCCCACAGCACTCGGCCAAGTTCCCACATCAGAAACGAAAACACCAACTGGAGTGTTAACTCTTAGAAGGAAAAAACTTGCTGTGTGCTGGAAGAGTTTCCCTGACTTTTCCTGAACATGTTTATAATTGGATGAGTTTTACAGTATTATGGTTAAGACAGATATTTCTAAGCATGTAAAAATAGAACGCAATCTATTGAAAACAAGATCTGAAACACAACTTGTTGAACTCTGCTGTCTTTGATGCAGAAAGACATTTAACTTGGGATGTTTGACACAGATACAAGGCCCTTGTGATAAAACTTGCATTTTTTGATTTACCTCACTTTTCTGGAAGCTTAAGATCTTTAATCTCTGCTCCCAAGGGTACCCCATGGGGTGGGGCTTCAGGGACAGAAGAAACCATCTTGGTACATCTGTTCCCTTATTTGCTGCTTGTAGACCTGGCTATGCGGGCCGAGGCACCCCTGGCAGGTAGCAAGCACATTCAGTATTATTTACAGCACTGCTCACTGTTCTGTCATTTCTGCTGTGATAAAGGTGTTAAATCAGCCCTTGGTCTGTGAAGAGGGCTACATTTCCATTTGGAGATGGCTTAGTATTCCATATTTCCTAATTTCTTCTTCACAATAACCATAGACAGGAACATCCTGATCAGAGGCCAAGAGATATCAGATTAGTTCCCTGTTAGGTGATGGCCAGAGACTTCTCTGGCCTCTCTTGCAAGAACCTCCGTTGTTGACACCAGGAGGCTACACACCATGGTCCCCTGAGGTTCCAGGTGATTATAAGACACACGCAGCCACAGCCACTAAATGACCTTGGATGGGATCATTTTTCTCTCTACCTTCCTATATAAAACTGCCACGGTTGGCCAGAAATTGTACCCAGACTATTTAATTGCCTATGGAGCTACAGCATGAGTCTAACAAGCTATTCATTAATGCATCCGACGCACCCCCTCTGCTTCCTGTGGCTTCTGCTCCCGGTTTAGAAGCAGAATTAACAAGTTTTCTCCTAAGAGGCAGATCTGTCCTGTAGCTCTCAGCTCTTTGAACATTTAACTTCATCCTCCAAATCATTAAAAAAACCACTTAATGGCTCTGGGCCCAGACCTGACCCTTACACACTGCATTTGCAAGGATCAGCAAAGGCAGATAAATCACCACCAGTACGTACCTTCTGCATCTGATTTCCAACTACGGTAGTAGTCTTGAGCAACTGTGGGTCATTAAACTTTTGTAAATTAATTTCCTTAAAAATGTACTTTACTTATACAATCAAAAGACTGTGCGTCCCTGACAGCACACTCAGAGGGTCAAAAATCTACTATATTCACATAAAACATTTATTGAGGAAAGATGAAGACACTGCCACCAACTGGGTGTGTTTTTCTTCATACACATCATCATGTCCACTAAAGATCAAAAATGATGCTCAAATCTGTAGCACATTCTAATGCAGTAGGTTATCTTGTTTTTCAACAAAATCTATTTGCAATCTCCAGTTCCTGAATTAACTTATTCTAGAGAGAGAGAGAGAGAGAGAGAGAGAGAGAGAGAGAGAGAGAGGAGAGGGAGGAGAAAAAGAGAGTTTTCTATCAGGCAGGGAATGAGTGGTATCTAAAACTCAAACATCTAATTTAAAGTGCACACATATAATGTAAAAGTGTGAAGTTGCTGGTTGTAACCGCCAAGGAATGGAAGAGACTAACAGGAGCTTTCAGCATCATTGGAATATACTGAACACGCAACAGCAAACAGAAACACTGAAATGACGCCCAGGATTTGTAGACAGATTTATTTTCATGGGCAAGTACTGGTTGGGATCATTCCCAGAATACCAGGTCCTGTTCTCTGGTAGTCTAGGGCTTATCTGGGATAAGCAAGCAGGAAGTACAGAGGCAGAACGGCTTGGCAGTTGGGGATTGGTTTACATAATGTGCATCATAGTGACCAGCTGTTTCTAAGAGACAGAAGCAACCAGAACTAGAACAGGAATTACTACCTGGGCAACTAAGAATCTGAAGTCTGCTGGCAGGGGTGGGGCGGGGCATTTTCTGTTACACACATACTCACTGCCCAAAGGAAAGCAAGTCAGCTTAGATTCCATTGAACAGTGGCCAGTTTGTGAGCCCGCCTTTAAATTGAATTTGCTTTATAAGTTTTGAATTCAGGGCCCAAATGTGGAATGGGGAAAGGAATTGAAATGGCAGGTGTTTCCTTAAATCCCTCCTCGTTCTGATATGCTGCCTGGGTTGAAATAATCCAGTTCAACATTAATCAATTGTCATATGAACCTTCGCTGTAAAATATACTTGTCCTTGTGGCCCCCTTTCCCACTCATTATTCATGAGGGGCTTCCCCACGTGACGCTTGTATCCGCTGTCCACTGCAGGCTGAGGTTGTGTTGATGGAAACCCAGTGTGATCTGAGAAGGAATCAGACTCTGTCTGGCTCTTACAGCCATCTGGAGACAGGGGCTGCCTACCTGCTGACTACCGAGCCTCTCCCTATGACTTGTTGTCCGGATCGCGCTGCTTTCGTCCTGTGTAGAGGGAGAAAGCACCTCCTGCCCTTGCTGAGGCACTCAGCCCTGCCGAGCACAGGCCTTTACTGTATGCGAGAGAAAAGCAAACAATCCCTAGATCTTCTTTGCTGATTATGCTAGAATGATGTCTGCAGAGGCTGAGGAATGATTTTATACATTCTGGTTTTCTTGTAAATTATTTTCTTTTCCTCTTTCCCTGAACAACATTTTACAGAGAGATTCACGAAATTTAGTTGAGTTAGCAGAGCCCAAGCTCAATCTGGAGAAAAATAGAGCCGAAAACACATTCTCAAAGTCATTTACTCTGAATGCTTAGTGGCCTACTGGCAGTAGTAACTATAACTGTAAATATTCATATTCCCACAAATAAAACCTTGCAGAATTGATGGCTCTCCCAAGTTTCCTGCTTCCTCCTCAGGAGTCAGGTGCCTATTTTAGAGTTCATTGTAATTCTGTCCCTGGTTAAGTTTAGAAATGAGATTATGCGGATGTTTCAGTTTATAAAGAAGATAAATTCACATATAGTTTTGTATGATTTATCTACCTAAAGATTTTTTTTAAACCTCATTTTCCCCATTGTTTTGAGACTTTAATCTTTTATTCCTGGAGAAGTGACTCAAAGAAGAAATCAAAGTTACACTGGGAATAAATTGAAGCAATGCTTTATTGCAAACACAAAGCACCATTTCAACAAGGTATCAATACACAGAATTTGAACAAATGTCTCTTTGAACAGAGATGTAGCAAGCCCACTTTTTCAAGTTCTTGAAAACAAATACGTAAGCCAAGAATCAAACAAAGCACAGGACAATTAAAAAAATATTACAGCATCATGAAGGAATATATATATAAAAATATTCTATACCAATAACAGGCTTTTTGATCTATAACTCTTGGCAATTTTTTTTCAGAAACAAATTATTATAAATACAAACCATAAGGTAAAAAAAAAAATGCTTTCTTCAGAAACAATGAACCGATTTAAGCGAATCTATGCAGAAAAACTACTACCCCCATGATAGGTGAATATGGATAGATATCCCCAGCACACAACATAGTTCTCTTTTCAGAGCTACAATTCTGCTCCTGAGGGGCCACGACACATGTTCATTTCAAACATCGCAGTATGTCTCAGTGAAACCTTAATAAGGTCAAGTGGGGTACCTTCTATAAAAAAGGGTGTTGGCAATTCCATCCACACATAGCAAACTCTACAGAGCAGAGAATTCAAGGGAGACAGCGACCCCTTTTTCTTTTCTACCCTTCTCCAACTTCCTTATTTTACTCTAAGTCTGTAAGCTGAAGAGGCTCATTTCTTTAAGTTTTCTTTTTAAAGATGCTTGAGAAAACAATCTATGAAGACATGAAGAATATCCTTACAGTCTCAAGCCTTTGTGGAGAGGGGTATCTAGTAGTGAGTGGCAAAGATCATTCTAGTTGACAAATTCCATAGGAAAAAGCATTCCATACTTGTCTGGCCCTTGATCGTCCTAGCTGAATTCTAGTCAGCCGATGGATTGCCTGGTCTATCCAATAGGATAACTTTTCATTTGGTTGAAATTTCTTACATATACATATGTATGTATGTATGTATTGATTTACAAAGTTTCATCACATGAAACTAAAAAAAAAAATGTCATCGTGCATTTTTTTTGAGGGCTAGGACCCAATTAGATGGCTTTACGAAGAATGGTTCTTTAAATGCTTTGTCTGGAGAGGCTTCACGTGGTACTCATAGATTTTCAAAGCAGGCCCCAATTTTAACTGAAGTCCTGTTAACACATCATTCCTTGTCATCAATAGCAGGGATTTCCCATCAATTTCCTGTAATGAAAGCAGAAGGTAAAGTCAACATGCGAGTCTAAAAACTCAAGGATAATGAAGGAAAAGGGAAAGTCAAAAGCAACAGTCACACCAGCTGTCCCAAAGCTCAAAATTACATTTATAGTCATGCTAAAATGAAATCATTTATTTTCATCTTTTTTTACTTGTGTGAGATGTGATTGAAAAATACAATGGATGTTTAAACATTAAAAAATTACAGTAAAAGACACAGTGTCATTAATCTCCTTCAAAACACTCCCCCTGACTTTGAACATACTTATTTCATCATTTGTGTCATTTTTTGAAGCATTTCTGGAAATCCTCTTTCATGAGGGTCTTTAGTTGCACTGTTGGAGTTGTCTTGATGTCTTTTTTTATTTTTTATTTTATTTTATTTTATTTTATTATTTTATTTTATTTTATTTTTTGTGGAACTGGGGATTGAACTCAGGCCCTTGCGCTTGCCAGGGAAGCACTTATTCCACTGAGCCATCTCCCCAGCCCCTTATAGCAAAGGCACAGTTTGAAAAATGATTAGTAGGACAGCTTCAATAATTAATACATTGCATATTGTTGTCTTCATAATGATTATTCATAGTACAAGATGCAGACATGATATCCTGTCCAAACACTGTTAGTACAAATCTTTCTTCTCGTTGAATTAAGAGAAAGTAGCTGTATATCTATCCTATTTTCTATATACAGATACAAATGGTTCATTTGTATCCCCTTTTTTTGTTTAGTTTTGTCAAAGATGGGTACCCATTGCCATTTAAATATTGTAAGTGCATGAATTCAGCAAAATAATCCGATATAGTCCAGTAGTTCACAATAGTAGTGGGTTTTCCGTAGGACTGGCAATGTCAGAAGTTGTTGACTTGAGCCTATTACAGCTCTGTCTTGATGTTTTGAATCAATTAAAAATGTGTATCTTTTGTGGCCATTTTGACTTTGGGGAAGAGCCACAAGCCACACAGCTCTAGATCTAGTGAATAAAGTGGATGAGGACATACCATGATGTTTTTATGAGTACATCTTGGTGTTCAGTGGCACCAGGGAGTTCCATCCAACATATTTTTTATCACATCTTATAAAGACACACACACAAGAGGGCTTGTAGAACTGCTTCAGAGAATGGCAAGAATAATGGGCTAAGTGAGTTTGAAGCAAGGGGGTATATTTTGAGGGGGATTAATAGGAATGTGTTTACTGTAATTATTTTAAAATGTTTAAACATTCATTGTATATTTGAGCATTCCTTTCACTTGGGGATTAAACAAAAGCCACAATTGATCTTGTTTTCAAGATCACATGACAAATGTCATATCTTAACATAAATGCCACACTTCCACTCAACTTGCAGAAGACTTAGAGCTATAAATCCTAAAGATATTTAGAGCTGGTACTCTATGGATCAAAGACATTACTTCCAAAAGGAACAAGAACATCCTCCATTTACAAAACATGCAAAAGTTTGTGCACAATTTTCTTTGTGCTTAATTTTTCAACCAACTCTATAAATTAGGATGGTTAGAAGTCATCATTTTTACAGGCAAGGCAACAAGGATCTAGCAAGAAGTCAACATGCCTACTTTAAAATCTAAGAGTCAGGAAAGAGTGGCATGACATTTGCTTTTCATCTGTCTACAGTCAAACCTGAGTTTCAAGGGCTGGCCAAATAGCTCAGTGGATTAGAGCACTTGCAAGCAGGCACAGGGGCTGGGGGTTCGATCCTGGGCCTGCCGTGCTGGCCCCGCCCCCGAGGTGCATTGGAAAGGCAGTTGAGACTGGGCGTGGTGGCTTGCACCTATAATCCCAGCTCTTGGGAGGCTGTAAACAGGTGGATCACTCTGAGTCTGATCTAGTAGTGAGACCCTGAACATCCTGTAGACCCTTCCCTAAAAATACAAAACGAAAACAAAACAAAGCAAAAAAACCAAACCAAACCAAAACAAAACAAAACCCACAACAACAAAAAAGCCACTTGAGTTTTTAAAAATCCCCTTTGGCCCTTCTTGATACTGAGAAATAAATGTATCTTGTCTGGGCTGTCCAGTGAGGTATAGAATCGTTGGTGTCCAAGCATCTTGTCAATCATATGATGCATCTGTAAAACAACTTAGGTCTTGGAATAGTCTTCCTAATGCTTAAAATATAGAACCATTCTACTTCATCCAGAAAATAACCTCTCCACACTGAGGGCCTCGACTGTACTCAGCCTCAGGGGATCCTCAAGACTTCAGATACTGCACAGGAAAGGGCATGGCCAGGCTGACTGCAAAGGCCTTCCATGCTTGGTTCAGAATCCATCCCACTCAGGTGCACTTAACTCCAGGAACTGTGGAGATTCTAAAGCTCTGGAGTACAAAGCTGAGCTGCTTGCAAAAACAACAAGCTCCCAAATATACGAAATGGTTTAATAGTTTTGGGAAAGAAGCACTGAGAATGGTATTTAAGGTAGAGACCTTATGCCTCTTAAGAATATGGTTCCTAGGAGATTTGGGGTCTCCTAAGAGACAGAATACCTGTGCTGGACACTTTGTCCATGATTCTACCCACACTTTTGTACCTGCCTGGAACAACAGACTAGGGGACATGGTGTGCAACAGAAAGTACAGAAAATTATGATTCCCTCCCAGGGAGGTCATCCCTTCCAATTCTTTTATGTTCCTTTCCAGGGTATAAAAAAAGCATTTTGAATAGCTGAGAGTGCAGAAGAAATAGCACTATGCCAGCGCTTTTCTTCCTCAGGAAACTTGCCTCCTCTATCTCCTCTCTTGGTAATGTGAGGACATGGGCTTTCTGACAGACTCCTGTGAGAAACTGCCCTTGTATAAGTTCCCCGAGCCCTGAGTTTCCCCTGCTCCTTTTTTTTTTCTTTTTTCTTTTCTTTTTTTTTTTTTTCCTGAGTTTTTAAATTGTGCGTCTATTCCTTCTGCCATGCTAGGCAGGACTGTGGCAGTCCCTTCTCTTGACAACCTCCCACTAGCAGGAGCCACAACCAAACAGGAATTGCTTCAAACCAACCTGCGACTTTTGGAAACGTTTATATTGTCAGCGACCAAAAGCCAGATATTTCACATGCATGTGTGAGAGACAACTATTCAAAACTAGATTATGTTAAAAATAAGCAATTGATTGATGGGCAAGAGTGGAAAATTACTTAAGGAGACAGGAACTAATTGTCTAATATTTAAGTTCTCTCCCTCTTTCTTTTCAAGCAATTAGTAACCCCAAAAGCGGCCCATCAGTGAAATCTGTGTTTGAGATTGACTTCACAACTTTTGAAATGAACCTGAGGAGCTTCTGTCACCCAGAAAACAGAGTAGCAGAGCCAAAGACGTTGCAAGGGACTCTGCGTCACGAGCACTACATACAGAAGAGAATCGACTTCGAATATTTCCGGAGCAGCAAAGCCCTTCTTCCTTCTGCCGTCTTTGCTTTGCTGCCGTGGGCCCATGCTTAACTCTATTCTTGTTGAAAACAAACACAGGAAGAAAGGGCACTGCTGTCTTATTTCTACACAAAAAGAAAACTTTCTTTACTTAACTCAAAGTGAATTTAAAGCAAAAATCTTTGCTGGCAAAAAGTCCTTGTACAACTCAGCATTTCTGTCAAAAGCCAACTATGTCTGGAGAAAGTGCTGAAATTTGGATTTTACATAAGACAAAATGAAAATGAAAAATCATATTTTCTACTCCAATTTGATTTTCCTTTTGTTCAGTAGAGACACTGCAGTTCACTTCACACCAGAGTTGATGGAAGAAAGCTCCATCTGGATATCATTATAAAAGTGTTGAAATAACCATGGCAGCTCAAACGAGAGTGGAAGCGAGCAGCTCCAAAATGTGAGCTTCACTCAGGCGAACTCCAGTCTGAACCCCATCTCCAGCTCACTGTGTGATGTCAGGCAGTGGAGTTAACCTCCCGAGCTTCAGTTTCCTCATTGCCAAATGAAAACACCATAAACCTGTGAATGACTTTGGAGTTAGAAATAATCGATATAAAGCAGCCAGCATGATGCTGGAAATAAAAGAGTCGCTCAGTGAGTAAACACTAAGTAGTAGGGTTTTGAAAGAAGAAAGATGAAGGCTGGGGAGACAACTCGGAAGAATAAATGCCTGCCTGGCAAGCACAGGGTCCTGAGTTCAATTACCATTACCGGAAACAAACAAACAAACAAACAAA